ATATCAAAAAGCCAAATTCAGCAGAATTGTTTAATAGAGGCATTATAGAAAACAGTATTGAGGTTTCTCATAAACTAGAAATAAGATTATTATATAATCCAGATACCTCAAGTTGAAATAAAAATCCCTCAATGATTAAATATAATTGTATCCCAGAGGTGCATGGATGAGTTAATGTAAAGAAATATATTCTTATAAAATATCTCATTAAAAGGGCAAATTGAACTTTCAGAAACATTTAATAAAATTCAATGCATATTGTTTGAAGTTATGAATATAAATTATATTTATTTAAATTTGCTTTTCCTGCACTATATTAAATTAATAATACAATATCTATTTCAATCCAACTTCCAAATAATGGGTAATGGTTTAATAGAACAGAATTTTCCATTTAAATTAGGAACAAAATATGAAGACGCCTCTCATTTCCTTACTCTGAAAATTCTAACAAATGCAATAAGCAAAACAGAAGTAATGGTTACTTGAAGATGATTTCATTTGTGAAAATATGTAAAAGATAGGAACTATAACAACAGTGTGTAAATGTAAGTAAAAAATAGATTATTAGGTAGGTAGGTGATAGATAGGTAGATAGATAGATAGCTAATAGATAGAATATCTTGTAAAAACTCACACTGAAAGAATGCAAAAAAATTTAGAAAATATTAATACATGACTTACTGCTGAAAACTTTAAAGAATGGCTCATCACTAAATATCTTAGTATAAATGTCCTATAGTCTTAGAAAAATCTAAATCTTTCCACTATTTTAAAATAGTTTAATTTTTTCAAAAGATTAAATCAAAGCCCAAAAATGTAAGCACCAGGAAATGGTGGCAAGAGGAAGGGTGGGGACCAGGGGATAGGGGTAGAGAATAAAGAGGAAAGGGGGAAGTATATATGCCACAAAATTAAGAAAAATAAAGGAAGAAGTCTAGGGCTCCTTGGCACAGGCTGAAATTTTCTTAATAGAGACCAGAAACATAACAAATCAAAGAAAGGTTGGACAAATGGGATTGCATGAAACTGCAGAGCTTCTGCATGGCAAAGGACATAGTTAGCAAGATCAATAGAAAGCCCACGGATTGGGAGAAGATCTTCACTAGCCATACAACAGACAAGGGTCTCATATCTAAAATATACCTGGAACTCAAAAAATTAAATACCCCAACAACAAATCCTCAAAGAAACAACTGCCCAATAAATAAGTGGGCTAAAGACTTAAAGAGAAACTTCTCTGAAGAGGAAAGAAAGATGGCCAATAGACACATGAAGAAATGCTCAACTTCTCTAGGCATAAAAGAAATGCAAATCAAAACAACATTGAGATACCACCTCACCCCAATTAGAATGGCTATAATCAAGAAATCTAATACCAACCAACAGATGCTGGAGGGGATGTGGCCCAAAGGGAACCCTACTCCATTGTTGGTGGGAGTGTAAACTTGTTCAGCCACTTTGGAAAGCAGTATGGAGGTTCCTCAAAAGACTCCACATAAAGCTTCCCTAGGACCCAGCAATCCCACTTTTGGGCATTTACCCAAACAATTACAAACAAGGCCATACTAAAGCTACCAGCACAACTATGTTTATTGCAGCATTATTCACCATAGCTAAGATATGGAACCAACCCAGATGCCCCTCAGTAGATGAATATATATCTATATCTATCTCAATATAGATATAGATATATAATGGAATTCTATGCCTCCATCAGAAAGAATAACACCGCCCCATTTGTTAGGAAATGAAAAGACTTGGAAAAAATTATATTAAGTGAAGTAAGTCAGACCCAAAGAAACATAGGTCCCATGGTTTCCCTTATTTGCAACAACTAGTATACATCTAGGATAATCTTACCAATCAGAAAAGGTCAAAAGCTATGTACATAAGACTATATAAACTGATGTTAAGCGAAATGAACCCGAAGATAGGGACACAAGTTTTTTTTTCTTTGTTACTGTTCTTTTTAATGAACTTATAATGTACTATGCAATTTTTTTGTTTTTGTATGTTCTTCCCCCATGGTATAACCCCTGTTTTCACTGTAGTTGATTCCATTGCCCTCTGTACATTTTTCTAGTTTGGGGGAGGGGAAGGGAAATGGTGAAATAAGGATATAGGTTGACCCATGGTAACAATGAGATGTAGGAGATACCATGTTGAAACAAGCTTTACAACTTTAATGGGGGAGGGAGGAGTTGGAGTGGTGTGTGGGGAAGGGATGGTACGGGAAAAACAAAGGAGGGAGTGACAATGACTGATAGGAAATGTACTCATTACCTTACTCATGTAACTGTAACCCCTCTGTACAGTATCTTTCCAATAATATATATATATATATATATATATATATAAGTTTAAAAATACAAAAAAGAAAAATGAGGGAAGGAGTGGGTTGAAATAGGGTGAAAATGGTGAAGGCGTGATACAGATCAAGATACATTATATTCATAAACTGCTTTGTTAAATGGCAAAAAAAAACCCCATCTGTACATATCTTACAAATTCAGAATAATGAGGGAAGGGTGGTTTGGGAGGGATGGATAAGAAGGTTGAAACAGAAGTCATAGATCAAGACACTGTATTCATGAACTGATTTGTTAAAACTCCTTTATACAACCACTTAAAAATAATAAAAGTATTTTAATTATGCATTGCTGGACTCCAGTGACTTATACCTATAATCCTAGCTGCTCAGGAGGCAGAGATCTGAGGATCATAGTTCAAGCCAAGCCAGGTAGGAGGCTCTTATTTCCAATTAATCACCAAAAAATCCACTAGATATGGAGCTGTGGTTCAAGCAGCTGAGTGCTAACCATGAACAAAAAGCTCATGGACAGCACCCAGGTCCTGAGTTCAAGCACCAGAGCTTGTACTATATATACATATATATATATATATATATATATAATAGAGAGAGATAAAGATATAGATATAAATTATCTCTATAGATATAAATCATCTCTATAGGTATAGATTATCTATATATAAATATCCATGTATTTATATATGTATATATATTTCAAGAAAATCTCAGGGAGAAATCATGGATAAGAATAATTGGGCTTTTTTGGAAGTCATTTACCCAACAAATATGCATACCAGTAATGCTACATATGCAAATACAGTATGTCTAATATACACAGCGGTCCAGAAAATAAATTATATAATGATTCAAAATAATGAAAAGATAGTATACCACATCAGTAGGAAATTATATGCATATACTAATGGATGTGTCCATTTAGGTAGCCTAAATTATATATATATATATATATATATATTCATACACATAAAATAAATACTTGTATTACTTTTTTCCCTGCTACCATGCAGAGAACAAAGGTCAAACCACTTAAATAATGAAATTACAGTAAAGTCACAAAAATTTCCCAATAGCAAGTCTGTAAGTGAATATCAGTTATCTATGGGCAGAGGAACTTTGATTGTAAAGCTTTCAATACTCCCACAAATAGATTCTATTACTGTTATAAATTGTCCCCCCAAACCACAGAGGCTATTTGTTAGTGTAACAGAATCTTTGGTATATGGAAGTATTGGAATATTTATTGAATATAATCAAGCTGTGCCTTTGGTGAAGTTGTCATATTGAATCTGTAGCAGCCTCTGCTACACAGGTTGGTTCTGTGGATCCCAATCTGATGGAGCAGTTGTTCTGTGTGCATTGGACCAGTCATGCAAGAGAAGGAGACAACTCTGGGGATTTTCTCATTGGCAGTCCAGTCTTTTGGTCAATAAGCACCAAAGGTCATTTCTGCATACACAACATTGAACAGAACTAGTCACCCAGCCCCTTCTAACTCTGTTAGTCATACACACCCATGCATTCAGAAAGGTAAGAGCCAGAAATACTGCCTACTCATACCAATGTCCATGTTTCAGGGGAAGAAAATCAATATTTGTCATTATAAAAAATGCAAACATTGATCTACCTCAAGAAAAAAATCTAACCCGTGTGAAGAACTAAATAATAAACAGGAAAAACATGGGCAATAAAAATTGTCAAAAGTTTTATGCCTTCATGGGTAGAGAAACTTACATTCAATAACAAAACAATGTTATCTTGGACACAAAGAAAAAGAAAAGGGCAAGAACAAGCAGGAAAAAAAAGAACTAAGAAATTGTAAACAAGTTTTTTGTTTGTTTTTGTTTTTTTGTTGGTGGTGGTGGTGATAGTGGTGGTGGTTGTGGGGCTTGAACTCTGGGCCTGGGTGCTGTCCCTGAGCTCTTCAGCTCAAGGCTAGCACTCTTACCACTTGAACCACAGTGCCACTTCTGGTTTTCTAGTGGTTTAGAGTCTCACAGACTTTCCTGCCCAACTGGCTTTGAACCACAATCCTCAGATCTCAGTCTTCTGAGTAGCCATGATTACAAGTGTGAGCCCCAGCACTCAGGGATAAAAAGTTTTAAAAATGAAAATCATCAGTATTTACAGGGATAACATTAAAGCAATAACAATTATTTTCTGCCACAAACTGATTTAAAACCATAGAAATTCTGAGCAAGGCTGCAGCTGAATTGCGCATTTCTGTACAGTGAATACCAGAAGGAGTTGTTCAGCCTTTGTTCTTTCATGTCCAAAGCCTAAACTCTCTATCACTTTATGACTTAATGACTGTATTACAAGGCACTTTTCTTTCCATCAGTGAAACTGGAAGAAATACCTCAGGTCAATCAGAATAGTGACTTGCTCAGAAAAATAAGGGTGACGCGGTTAATTAAATAAACCATAACATACTGAGACAACCATTAAGAACCTGAGTTGTTTTCAGGCACTGATACTGAACGCCTAAGCCAATGTGAAATTGAGAGAGGTAAGAGGATGCTAGCATCTTACCTGTTCTGCTTTAAAGAAAATTCAGGGAAGTATCCTAAGAAAGTAAAAGGAAATCCATCCAATTTGTTAATAATAACTGTTTCACAATGATCCCGTACTATATGTTCTATTGTTTGCTTGTATGTTAAGTCCTCCAAAGGGCTGTGTATTTCCTAACAATGCTGTAATTCCAGATCAATGTGTAGTGTAGAATAGGTTTCTATTTCACCTCCTCCAAAATTTCACTCAATATATCGTTCTATTTTCTTCAGATGGAGGGTGTATCAGGTATTAAAGTGGTAAGAATAGAAACTCCTCTTGATCGCAGTCAAAAGGCTGAAGAAGGGATGTTTTCTTTTTTTAACTCCATCTCCCAAATTTTTATGTGGATGTTTTTTAAGTGAACTTATTTTATTTTATTTTTTATCGTGAAAATACTGTACAGAGGGGTTACAATTACATGGGCAAGATAATAAGTACATTTCTTATCAAGCATTGTAGCCTCCTCCTTTGTTTCCCCCTCCTAACCCTTCCCATCCTCCCCCTGCCCCCCCAATCCTCCCTGCTCTCCACCCCCTTCCCCCCCCCCCCCCCGCACCAAAGTTGTAAAGTTAAGTGAACTTATTTTAAATAAAGTACAACTTCCTTCACACTCACTATATGACAGCATCCACTGTGGGAGTTTGATGTACAGCATTTTTAAATGTATGTAAATGATCAGAAAAGAAGGCTCGCAGATCTCAGTGTTTTCAAAACAAGTGAGGGGTGTTTTTAAATTTTGCCTCTTGTAGCATTCCTGTCAGCCCTGGCTGACGAGTTGGTTAACTCTGCTTTATTGTGGACCGATTTGAGCTTTCCTCAACAGGTGAATTGGGATTTTCTCTGCCTGGAACCACACTACTTCACATGAAGCTTTTCCTCTGAGAAATCATTGCACTGAGCTTATTTATCATCCATGCCAATGTAGACTCCTTTCCATTTATACTGTTACTGAGCAGCCAAGGAGAGCTGTGGAAGGGGTTTCCATCTGCGAGACTCTAGAATAACTTGAGGAATAATAAGAACTACAGAGTTTTCAGGCCCAGAAGAACAAAGATTGTTAGGTTTTCTCTCATAAATGGAAGCTAGACTTAGTCTATTGATATATAAGTAAATGGTTTGGGTGGTATACAAGGGTACACAAATATATTAACTGAAATAAGGTATATTCAGAGGAAAATCTACTGAGTAATTCCTTAGAAAGGTTAAATCAAAGTGCTATAAAAATTAACTCCAGGAAAGCGGTATTTGATTGGGGTGGGGTGAGGTCAAGAGACAGGAGTAAATGAAAAGGGAAGGAGGAGAATGCAGTAAAAATAATTCAATGTCTACCCACAAAATTAGGCAAAGTGAGGGAAGGAATGTTTGGGAGGGGTGGGTAAGAATGTTGTAAGGGGTGACATTGCTCAAGATACACCATATTCATTAACTGTTTTGTTGAATGGCAGCTCCTTTGTACAACTACTTAATGATCATAAAAACATAGAAAAGAGAACTTTAGAGTTTCAATTTCTGGTTTTAAAGAAAGAGGGTAGATAAGGAAGTGTTTACAGCTAAGACTCTTTAACCTGCTTGGATGATCTAAAACCTTATTGTTGTTTGAAAGTCGATTTCTGAAAGTAAGGAATAAAAACGTTTACTGAAAGAATGCTTTGTAATTTACAATACTTAGGCACTGGGAAATATGCGAAGACATTTTAAAAACCTCATAGAAGGCTGGGATAAAGCTTGGTGGCAAAGTGCTTACCTAGCAAGTGCAAAATCCTGGATTCGATCTCCAGTACCAAAACAAAAAGACCAAGAAATACAGTAAAACACACACACACACACACACACACACACCCCAAAAAAATAGAAAATATTAAGAAAAAGAAGATAGTAAATGGTTTTATACTTTTAAATATTTACACCAAATGTGAAGAATTTGCACCCACAACATGACTTTGAGCTATGACTACCTAAAAGATGCTCTTGTTCATAGAAAGAAAAGTGACCTTCTTGCTTAAGTTGCCTGTAAATGGAAAAAGAACTTGAAAATATATAAAACCTGAAAGTATGTATAAAATATTCATTTCGCTAGAAGTAGTAGGATCATTAGAGGATTTATATTTCTGATCAAAACCCACTTGACTTTGCACACAAATGGTACAGAAATAATCATTACAATGTCAAATTATTTTAGTTCCAATGGGATCAGATCCCTGGATAAAATTTTTCACAATACAGTTTAATAATAATTCAACTTCATGGCACAGTTACAAAGGAGAATTTCCTCTAGTAACAAGCATTAGAAACACACTGGGTCCAACATCATTATTGATGGCTTGTAAGAGCCATACAAATACAGTGTGAATTTCCAAGTGGAAAGACACTAAGCAGGGCTTCCCAAAATTGTTTGCCCACTAACTTTGTGAATGACATCTATGTACACACATTGGTAAATATGGCTCAGCTGGAGCTGAGTTTCCATTTGTTCTGGCTTCAGAATTCAATTTTCATTTTAACACAAAAAATAGCTCCTTCTCAGCCAGAAGACATTTCTGCTCAAGAAATAGCAGACACAGACGGGAATTATACTAGGAAATTAATATGAAACACATGGTATTGCTTCCTTGGCACTATGGGTTGTGATCTTGGCATATTCCATTCGCTTAATTAATAAATAGATAGATTGGAATTGTGAGCCTTTTAGTAGGAATGTGTCGTTTAAATGAGATGTTAAAAGCTAAAAATGTAACTGATTTCAAGAGACATTAAAGTTATCCCAGACTCATAAAATACAAGTTTGGCATGAATTCTCTGGCAGTCTTCCTGGCTCTTGCCTGAAATCTGCCATTGAATAGGAGATGAGTGATTCCTCCATGATCTTGAAGACACTGGAAGCCTTATGAAAAGTGAACAGGGAGAGAGAATCAGAGTTTCCAAAGAGCTTGGGGACAATAGAGCTTAATAGCTGGGAGACAGCAAGCAATAATTGCTTTTAAAAGAAAGGGAAAACAAGGCAGTGGTGGGAAAGTCAAGAGGTGTTACTAACCACCTCTACAACCTCCCTCCCTCCCTCCCCCCTCTCTCTCTTCGTCTCTGCCTCTCTCTCCCCCTCTCTCTCCCTCTCTCTTTCCCTTTCTCTCTTCCTCTCTCTCCCTCTCTCTCCATCTCTGTCTCCCTCTCTCTCCCGCTCTCTCCCTCTCTCTCTCCCTTTCTATCTGGGCAGAACACTGTACTTCATGGAGCGTAGCACTAAAGTATGAGGTGTAGAGGCAATCCAACTACACAAACATTTCCTGGAGAAAATGTGGTCACTGCTTTGAGTCTTGCCCAGAGAAGGCAAGTTTCAACCAACATTCTTCCTACCCTTGAGGAACAGGCAGCCTCCAGCCTTAAGATAGTGTTTGATTGACACATAATATTTATACATGTTTATGTGGTTCATTATAAGCTATATATAATAACCATATATACATATATATAATGAATATTCCATTAAGGTCTTTGACCCATTTGGAGTAAGAGAGAGGGATCTAATTTCAGGGTTCTATTTGTGGATAGTCAATTTTCCTAGCATTACTTATTAGAGTTTTTTTCCCCCAAAGCTTGTGTTTGCACTGGAAACACTGAATAATATTTCATTATGTCTATGCTACATTTCTTTTTCCATTGATTCACTGAAGAACATTTGTTAATACCAAATCCTGGCTGTCATGAACAATGCTGCAAGAAACTCGATTCAGGTGTCCATCCACCATGTGGATCCATTGATGTGGTCTCCTAATGGAGGTATAAGTAGGTCTTCCCGGAGTTGTACTTCAAGCATCAGGAGAAGCCTTCATGCTGTTTTCCATAATGGCCATACTAAATAAGTGCTCTCAAATATGCCTTAGGTTTTACATTATTAAAAGAGAAAAAGTTCACCTCTCGCTGGATGAATTGGGAAGCATTGTATGCGGCAGGGAACAAAAAGTACATGTCCAGCTTTGTTAATGGAGTAACACACTTCTGTATTTAGCTTCCTATTTTAGCGTAATCTATCCTCAATCTATCACCAGAAGTGCAGCCAGCCCCAGTGGACAGCAAGCTGAGGGCAAGAACCACATGTTCTTTATCTTTGTCTCTTCCACGGCTGCCAGCCTTGCCTTAGATATGAACAGATGGCCGAGGATGCACCATGAATTCAACTGGATATTGAATAACATTCAGACAAGAGGAGCACTGATTGGATACTATTGCCTTTTGTTTCTAATGTGCAATGCAGAGTCTTTTTTTTTTTTTTAAGTTACTGGTAGTATTTGCTGAACCCAACTTTTTCCCTTACTGAGAGCCTCTGAAGCACAGCCATAATTCTTGTTCTTGAGACACATTTTCTTCTTTCTCAAAGGGCATTCCTATTGAATTCATCCAGATCTCTTTGAGATACCAAAGAGAGAGTTCAATTGCAGTTAACATCTGAGGTATGACATCAACTTCATTCTCTCTCTTCAAAGGACAATGGTATCTAAAAGTGCTTGTAGCAGGTCAGGTCAGCTGTGGACCCATGAGACAGTGCTCAGCCCTACCCACAACTCTGTCCTCCCTCAGGGCACCCAGGTCTTTTTGCTCATTAGTTTTCCGTTAGGTCATGGAACACATGGCTCTCACCCAAATGAACTGAGCAGATGTTTAACAGGACTGCTTCAGTGTCTAAAATGTAAGACAGGAAGAGGGAAGCTGAGTGAGGAAGAGAGCATTAAACTAAGGGAATCTTGAGAAATTAAAACGTGTAACCTTGAATTTAAAGGTGCAGTAATATAAGCCTAGAGTAAATTGCTTATGATGTAATAAACTAAAATTATGGATGTGGCAATAAAGGTGAGCAATATAATACTGTATATTTAAGAGCAGCTATCAGCAAAGGAATAGGTCATATTGCCATCTTGTCTTCTGCTGTTAGCTTCTAGAGGGCTATTATTCTGTGTGGATGCAAAACTGGAGTGGGCCTACAGAGACATTCACTTCTTTGTCTCCTTGCTCTGTTACCTTTCCATCCTGAGTGACCTCCCAACTTATCACAGCACACAGCACACAGCGCACACAGCAGCCAGGTAAAAGGAAGATGAGGCTTATTAGAATATATAAAGTCATATTTGACCATTTCCTGCCACACTCAGAATAAAGTAGGAAATATAATAAATTTTAAAAAACTCCAATGTATCCTATAGTCCAATTAATGGCTATACTTACAGAATGAAGTTAAATAGCTAGAAATGGCTAGTAGAAGATAACATTTTTTTCCCAAAAAGGATAGACAGCAGTGAAATGCAACCAATATGGGCAAAT